TCTTTTGTATAGCAACGTCCAGTGCTGCGCAGTTGATAGTGGTGAATTGGTGGTGTCAGAAACAGCCGATGGACAAATCCATTTCTATTCTGGAAACCCTAGTGTGGAAGGAGTTATTCACATACGCAAGTAAGTTTTAAAATTTTATTTAATGTTAATGTTTGATTAATGTTTAATAATATTAACCAACTACTGTCAGGTTTTTTTGGGTGGTACTCTCTTAAAAAATATGATACCAATGAGCCATTATTTCTTGAAAGGAAAGTGAAGTTATCGGAAAGTATAATACATACTCCAAGTATTGAAATACACGCCATCGTGTTGGGATTCAATATTTTGACATTAATTATGTCATCATCAGAGAGGTAGGAGGTGAATGATTTGGAATGAAATTTGGCAGTGCTGGTTACACACAGAACTAGGAATACTCCCCAGGGAGCAGAGGAGGCTACATGTTGTGTATGATGGATTTTGTATCCAATGACCAGGGAAAAGACCCATGAATGGTTATCTGGATATGTGTGATATATAAATCTTATAAAATAATTAAATAAAAAATACCTTTTTCCAATGACCACCACCACAGTGGTGAAAGACCGACCTCATCTCTCTTGCAATCTGTCCTTGCTATTTTAAAAATTTGACTATACAGAAGGTTGAGAAAATCGTGTTTTTCTTATAGTATATTTTACATAGCTTACATTTAATTTGATTGTGAAAACAGTCATCTGGTTCCATAAAGTGTAGTAGGAAATGATCTGTTTTGTTGAACCACTAATACCCTATTCAGACTACACTCTCTTGCGATCGGTTGCGATGTAATCAGTGGTAATCCAAAACTGATTACTCCCGATCGAAATCAACGAACAAGCAAACTTTACATTCTAGGGCCTAGGCCTCCAGTGTCTAGGCCTATATGTTGCCTGACCTCAGCCAAACAGTGCCTGTGGAATTCGTTTATTCATTGCGATCAGATTCCGTGGTAATCGGGAGTAATAAAGATTGTAGCACCCAATCGAAACGGGTAACAATTGTGATATCGATTACATAGCTTTCAGACACGATTTTACTTTGCGATTGGGTGTGATTGGGTGTCGCAATTGCTACAACCGATCGCAATGCGATGCTAGTCTGAATGGGGTATTAATTGTTTACCTTAGCAATGGTTTCAGTAACTGCTTCGGTCTCTTTCTTCAGTCTAATGAACTCTTGTTTCGATTGGGTCATTCACGTGGTGAGTGAGTGCGCCAACACAAGTTTTGTCCCAGTGCCCCTCTTGTGTTCTCTGTTTGAATAATAGGTCCAGAATCAAAGAACACAGAACCGATATTGAAAAGCACAAACAAATATTACACAAATCTGAGGTAACTGTCCAAGCTGTTGCAAATAATCATATACCAAAATAGAAAATTTTCCAGGTCCTGGACAGAAAAACACAGGAAAAAGAAGCAGTCTGGAGCCATGAGAAGGGTTCATTAGCCTGAAAAAAGGTGACCAAAGCAGTTGCTGAAACAATTGCTAAGATAAGCAATTAAATGGTTCAACAAAAAAAGTAATTTACAGAAAAATGTTTCCATTATTATTTAATTTATGTTCTTGCATTTCCTTTTCTTTACGTCTTCAGAGTTCAGCTGATGAGTTTTATTCTCAGTACAATGGAAAGGTGTTCAATTCAATTGACAATCAGCCATGTGTCCTGAAATATGTTGCTTTTGTGGAGGTTGGTAACAAAACATTTTTGAAAGTGATAGTACAAAGGTCATTGTTTACCAAATTTACAATCGTCACCTATATTGTCATTGTGTTGTCATACCATCTCCACCACTGTCGTTATCATCAAGATGTAAATAATATTTGTTAATAATAGTAATTAAATTCAATTGGGTTCATAATAATTGTACATTGTATTTTTATATTCGTCTTAGTTATGTACTTTTTTGTCTAATCTCAAATTGGAAATAATATTTAATAAATAATTCTAATTAATTGTTTAATTGAATTGTGAATACACATACTGTATATTTCAAAATTGTAGTTGAATTATAAACTACTAAAAATATTTAAAACCTCATCAATAAGTTATATACATTCATCCTGGAAAAATGGAAGCATTTCTCTGTTCAACTATGCTGATTGGTAATTTGTTTAATAACGGTGATAAATATTGTGTTTTTTTTTAGGGAGAAATGCCACAATTTAAGAAATTCTGTACCAAATGCTCTGGAAAACTCGATGATGCAGGGGATATTTATATCGAGTTGCTCTGCAGTCACACATTTCATGCCAGCTGCCTTCCACTGAAAGAGAGGTAGCAATGCATACACACAATGTTAATGTAATGATCAGAATGATTATCATCATCATGACTATCATAAGTATCTTATTATCACTATCATCATAATTATCAATATTTTAACCACTATCATCACCACCGTCAAAAACATCTTGGTAATTAAAACTTAAATGGGAGGCTGTTGTGTTTGTTTCAACTAAAAAACGATTCTTATTGTTTGTTGATTAGAATCATTTTGCAACTAAATTGGATGACCTTCTTTATTTAGTCTTCTAATACAAAGTTGTAAGTCAAGCCTTATTATAAGCATATCCCTTGGTTATCATATCAAATCAAATATACTTTTATTTTCCATACAATAAAGTAGTACAATATACAATAAGAATGCAAAAGAATTGAAACAAATACATTGTATGGAAGGAGGCTACAGTGAGTTCAACAAGAGCTTTAAGACGTAGCCACCTTTAAACAAAAGTTGGTAAAATGACCGGTAGTAATAACAGAACTAATAGAATTTAAAAATTTTGAGATACCGATACAATTAAAATAATTCCAATCCAGCTTTGTATTCGTTTATTTTAGAAAACACAAGACCACAAGACCAGACACATAATTTCTAAGACTCAAGTAGAAATGAAAGGATGAGAAAGCAAAAGATAATTAATTGCCGTATACCGAGACCAAAGACTTCTTAGTGTGATATTTAAAACTATTCAATGTGAATTTATTTTTTAGGTCATCAGAAATATTCGCCCATAAATTCGAACCCTAGAAAAGAACTGAAAAACACCTGATACTAGATGTGCATGGATCATGCGATGTACAATTGTTGCTAGAAAATCTTGTATTATATTGATTACTGGTCTATAGGGGACCTCTGTTATTAATTTAACTACCACTGTATCACCACACATGTAGTGTGTGGAACACATCCAACATGTCTGCCAGTTATTGGGGACCTTAATTAAGACCGTCAAAAGGTAAAATCATGTCCAAAGGTCCACCCAGTCGCTGTTTTGATGGACAGGTAAAAGAATGCTCCCGTCTACTAGAACCTACAGACACAATTACATTATCATCATGATTTCTCAGTACGTTCTTAATAATGATTTTATTATTCACCCTGATTCTTGTCAATTTTTATTTTGACAGTTGTCCAGAATGTGGGATTTTTAAACCCCTAGAAGTGGAACTTAGTAAATGTTTCACTTGTACTAATCAAGAGGTAAGAAGATAACATTTTCTCGTTCATTTATCATGGAATCAGCCATTAAGTGTGACATAATATGAGACTTGCATCACTTAAAAATGCTAATCGTTTCATTTATTAATTGTAATCAATTAATTCAGATAGATATTGTGACTCGTATTATATTTTATTATTGCAAATTCTTAAACAAGCGATAATTTTTTTTTTTAAATAAAGAAATTCTATTAATTTATATAATTTTCTAGTTTTCTCTAGACTTTGTTTTTATGTTGTTTATCTTTCCTATTCTGATGTTTAACTGCACTACTTTAAAAAATGTGTACTGTAAGTGCCTGCAATATAAATATGATATTTTTAACCCTTTGAACCCTACATTATTTACATCTTGCAGCACCCTCACCCTGAGTTATTTGGACAAAATATGCTTATTTTTTATTACAATCATCACCACCACCTCCTAGGCCCTGTACCGCTACCATAGCCATCCATCAACATGATGTACAACTATCATCACTACCGCCGTCTGCTGGCACTAGCACTATCGTGATCGGCCTGGCCTAGGGCTAGAAACTACACTGTTTACCTCACTATCACTTTCCAAATCACTTTCTGGATAATCGTCATCATCAATATATTCTTGGGAGTCATAAATTATCAATTAAAAAGCTCGTTGGCATTTATTGTCGAATTATTCAATATAAATTTGTTTTTTTCAAAAAAATCATCACGTACAAGGCTGTCAGAACGACTTGGGAATGAAGATGTCACAAAATTACGTCATTACTCATACTGGTCAGGTGATTACCCCGAATAACGTTACCTGACCCACAAAGCCGGTATACCGGCCTTTAGGGTTATTGCAGCGTAAGCGCGCGGCCATTTTTCCGGCCTTTAGGGTTCAAAGGGTTAAGTAAAATTTATGTCTTGTGTTTAGTAATAGCTTTTATATATTGTGTTCAGTAATAACATTTTTATCTTGTGCATATTGTAATTATTTTTCTAAAACAGAGTTTGTATCTTTGCCTGAATTGTGGTGATGTTGGTTGTCCACTACATGCAACCAAACATTTCGAGACAACGCAACACATGTACGCATTACAAGTTGGTGGGAACAAAGTGTGGAATTATGCTAGACGTAAGGACATTGATATCAAATTTAGGAATATGCACATACACCCCATATACATGCCTATACACTCCCTACCATGTTCCATTCATCCATTTTTAATGCAATTACTTTTATTATTCAGCATATTAGTATTCACTGTTCATTTATAAAGGGATAATTATTTAAAGAATTGAGTTGTTCGTTTGCAGGCAATTTTCTTTATCTGCTTCCAAAAGATGGAGGAAAATTCTTAACACTAAAGGTAAGTTGTGAAGAATAGCATGGAAGGTTGGTGATGAATAAGAAAAAGGTGATAAGCAGGTTTAAGTGCAAAATGAGGATGAATAGAGAAATACAATTTAAAAAAAATGAGGAATGTGCAAGGGTACTACCATATGTGAAAGTTTTTTAATGAAATAGATATAGAAGAATCTGATGGAAAGGTTTACAGATAAGGATGAATTTAGGGAGGGTGTGATTAACAAGCCAGGAATGTAAGGATGAGATATCTAATTCTTAATATTTTTTTTTTTAGGAGGTTGATTTATCAATTCAACTTTCCTTGCAGAAAGCATATTACGAGGACAGATTATCAAGAATACAAGAAGAGGTAATATTGAGTGAATTATAAAGAGATTCATGAGTGATTATATTTATTTTTTTGTTACACTCATCTTCATTTATAGACACTTTTTATTTTGGTTTACTTCCTATGGTTGCATGAGTGATTATATTTATTTTTTGTTACACTCATCTTCATTTATAGACACTTTTTATTTTGGTTTACTTACTTTGGTTGATTTTGTTTATATTGAAATAAAGTACAGTAATGCACTATATTAATTACATAGTGCTTTATTCATGTACATCAACTATAAGTGCCTAAAACAAAATATGTGATTCACCAAAGTGGTCAAAAATGAACAGACTGAGGTGTGTTCACCTGTTGCATACATTTAACTATGGCAAGCCAACAGAGCACAATAAATAAATATTTATGCAAGAAGGCAAACAGGAAATTATGTTCACATATGTTTTTTGTATTTTTGACTAATTGAAAATGTAAGACAGTATAGTAAATGTAATTATGACATAAAAATCATTTTTTTTAACTTCAAACATATCAACATCACCTAATTATAGTATGGTCATTTTGACAACCTCACAATTCAGTTTTTTGATCCGCACTGTCATATTTTCATCCACTCAAAATATCGAGGTGTTCAAGGTGATGCAATAATATTTTTTTGAACATCCCCATTTACTGCCCACCTCTTTTTGCGACTTGGTAAATTAGGATATTAAGTGTCACATACAGTAAATAGGCTTAATCCATATGTTCATTATCCAGACCTTTGCTGCACAGTTCACCATGGCAAAGGTCAATGTGAGATATTGAAATAAAATATGAAATACAGTTTGCCCTCCAATTCGAGATCATCCTTGGGACCTAAAAATTTGGGGTGGTTTCTGGGTTGGTCTCCAATTAGAGGGCTAGCTTTTGTGTTAAAAGTTTAAAGATTGTTATTTGGGTTTTCGGAAAAGTGGAGAAATTAGAGGGGTCTCGAATTAGTGGGTGCACTTGAAAAATAATTTACAGGTTCTGGCAGTCTCACCCTACCTTTCAGAAATTCCACCTGCATCAACCAAAGACTGAACTACATGCCTAGATGTCAAAATGCAAAGTGCTTTTTTACTTGCTTTTTGGATACAGTATCAATCATACACAATGTGTGATCCTCTTCCGCTTCCTGTGGATTATTCCTGTTTATGCATACACAGCACTTCCAATTTAATTCATTCTCCCATTTATATTTCTGTGTGAAGAGAAGAGTGTTTTTCCACAAAAAGCAGGTACAGGGAAAAGCCCCAAATATGTATCATAGGACATGCGGTTACATGAAAAATTTTCTGGTAGGAAGGCTGAATTCACTAGTTGAGGAGGGTTTTAAATTTACAAGGGTTGAAATCCTTGTGAAACTTGCAGTAAACCCATCATTGCATTTTCAGTCACATTTGGAAACATAAGCTTGAAATATATCTAATCTTTTTTTCAGTTCATGCATTCCATAAATCAATATGAGTCTCAGAAACCAAATTATGAGGAGAGAATATCAAGAATAGAACAAGAAGCATTATCCCAGGTAATGTTGAGTGAATTATTTGATGACATTGAACAATGAAGAATCGGCTTGCAGGTGGTGGGAGTGGAGAAGTAGCTTGGTGGCTATTGAATACACAGCGAGGGATTGAAACCCCAAACTTGAGGCTGGGAAACTGCTGCGCCAAAACGCTTCCACTTTCGTGAATTAAATTTTGGTTTTCATTTGAATATAGAAGTAAATAGAGTAGTGTTAGTCTAGTAGACCCATAAAATAAAAACACTACAAGCAGTTTATGGTGGAATTGTTTATTACACAAGCTTTTGTATGTGGGTGGGTGGGTGTGTGTGTGTGTGTGTATGTATGTATGTATGTATGTATGTATACCTATAAACGTGTGTCAAGATTTTGTTTGTCTTCAAGAACCAATGTAGTTGATGAAATAATTTAATTTTTTTTTTTTTTCCAGAGGTTAGAGTCAGAGTCAAGACACAAGCAGACAGTAGAGGAATGTGAGCAATATAAAATCCAAGTACAGAATTTACTGAAAGAAAAATCAACATTAGAAAAGAAGAATAGTCAAACAATCAGCAAATTACAGAAGGAACTCAGTGGGGAAAAAGAGGTAAAATTGATGAATTCTGGTACTGTATAATAGCCAAACAGAACCACCATCAAGTGACATCCTGGTTTTTTTTTTAATGAAATTAGGTAATTTACTGCCTGAATCTAGAGCAGTCAATACATATAGATTCCACAAGGCCTAAAAAGTAATGAAAAGAGTACCCATCAAATAGTCTTAGGCCCACTTCAAACGTGCCAATCTCTGTTGTCGTGGAGGTTACAGTCCTCTTTAACTTCTGTGCACATCAAATTACACAGGAACGTAATATGTGAGGCCTAGAGATACATCACAATGGGGGAAAAAGTACTATCATTTAATGTGATAGTATTTTTTCCCTGGGATCATCCGACCTACGTCATAGGAGTGATAGTTACTCGCATATTAACCAATCAGATGCCTTGAATCTATGTATGCAGTATACAATGTGAAATCAAATCGATTATAGACGGTAAACAGCATGGTAAAATTATGTATTATAATATAAAGTATAATATTTTCCCATGGAAACACTCAGTATGTTATTTTATGATGCCTTATTTTTATTTTAAATTACTTAATATCTTATCATAGTTCATCAATGTGTTTTGGGTTTTTTTTTATTGCAGATGAACAATGGTTTACGTTCAAATCAGAAAAGTTTGAAAGATAAAGTGTCAACTCTTGAATCATCAAGGGAAGCTGAGAGCGAAAAGCACAAGAAAGTAAGTATTGTGCGTATCTTGTGTACTCTAGTTGGGCAGGGGGTCCCAAGATGGAAGCCATCCCAATTTCCGGGAGATCTGTTGAAATGAGCTTTCTTCCACATCCCCTAGCCTATAGAGTGCCCCAAGGTTCAGTTGTTGGCCCATGTTTATTCAGTCTCTGCATTTGTCCATTCAAAGATAATATCAGGCATTATGTCATTCAATTCCACTTTTTTCTTCAACTCTATGTAACTTTTGACCCCAGCAATCGTAGCAGCACTGTCTCCAATTTGCAGACCTTATCCCTTTGTGTTGCTGATATTCAGCAGTGGTTGTTGGGCAACAAACTGAAGCTGAACGAAAAGAAGACTGAGTTTCCGCACTCTTGAAATGACTATTGACTTGTCAGCAGGTCTCAGCCTACAAGTGTCAAATGCTAGTAGGCATATAAGAAACTTATGGAGAATCGGGAAGTTCATACCTGTCATGCTGCTGAGAGGGCACTGGTGCTTTCAAGACTGGACTACTGCAATTCACTGTACAGTGGCCTGTTAAAAAGAGATTTACACCCTGCAGAATCTTCAAAATTCTGCTGCTAGACTAATTTTTCTTTTAAGTCACATACTCATACATCTCCCCTTATTCATGATCTTCATTGGTGGCCTGTACAGGAAAGAATTAAATTTAAACTTCCCCTCTTTGTTTTCAAATCACTTTCTGGCGTCTACCATTTTTATATATTTCCAATTGGCTAACACTATGTACTATGTGCGCTTAACAAGATCTTTCAACTTGTTGGACCGGTCTACCATCGTATTGGTGACAATTCATTCCCTTTAATTGCTGGCCGTCTTTGGAATGGTCTGCCTAATTCTCTCAGATCATGTGATTTGCTTTAGGCAGTTAAAAGCCCATCTAAAAACACACCTTTTTTTCAATAGTTCCTCTCACCTTGCTTAGATCGTATTTTTTTTTTTTTATGTTTTGTTTGTTTTCTTATTTTTCTACTGCTTTTTTGCATTAGTTAAGTTAGCACACTATGCTTGGGTTTGGTTCTATGCAAGCTTTCCTCAAGGTGGGGGGATGTTTTTGACTTATTGTGGAGAGTAGCTTAAGTGCTTCGTAACTGAAAAAAAAGGTGCTATACAAGTAAAAAGTAAAAAGTAACAGATTTATATTTATTTTGCTGCCTTGGTGATACCCATTGGCACTGACCTCCAGTAGACAATTGATAATACATAGTAAAAAACATGCTAATATTTTGTGAAAGGAAATTGTCTCAGCTATAACATACTCAGGTGGGAGACGATCGATTAAAATAAATATTTATGCAAGAAGGCAAACAGAAAAATTACTGTATGTTCACATATGTTTTTTATTTTTGACTAATTGAAAATGTAAGACAGTATAGTAAATGTAATTATGACATCAAAAATCATTTTTTTAACTTCAAACATATCAAAATCACCTAATTATAGTTTGGTCATTTTGACAACCTTATAATTCAGTTTTTTTGATCCGCACTGTCTTATTTTCATCCTATCAAAATTTTGAGGTGTTCAAGGTGATGCAATAATATTTTTTTGAACATTCCCATTTACTGCCCACCTCTTTTTGTGACTTGGTAAATTAGGATATTAAGTGTCACATAAATAGGTTTAATTCATCTGTTCATTATCCAGACCTTTGCTGCACAGTTCACCATGGCAAGAGTCAATGTGAGATATTGCAATAAAAAATGAAATACAGTTTGCCTTCCAATTCGAGACCACCCTTGGGACCTAAACATTTGGGGTGGTCTCTGGTTTGGTCTCTAATTAGAGGGCTAGCTTTTGTGTTAAAAGGTTGAAGATTTTAATTTTGGTTCTTTGAAAAAGTGGACTCGAATTAGAGAAATTAGATGGGTCTTGAATTAGAGGGTGCACTTGAAAAATAATTTACAGGTCCTGGCGGTCTCACCCTATCTTTCAGAAATTCCACCTGCATCAACCAAAGACTGAACTACGTGCCTAGATGTCAAAATGCAAAGTGCTTTTTTACTTGTTTTTTGGATACAGTATCAATCATACACAATGTGTGATCCTCCTCCGCTTCCTGTGGATTATTCCTGTTTACTGCATACACAGCACTTCCAATTTCATTCATTCTCCCATTTATATTTCTGGGTGAAGAAAAGAGTGTTTTTCCACAAAAAGCAGGTACAGGGAAAAGCCCCAAATATGTATCATAGGACATGCGGTTACATGAAAAATTTTCTGGTAGGAAGGCTGAATTCAGTGGTTGAGGAGGGTCTTAAATTTACGGGGGTTGAAATCTTAAATTTACAGGGGTTGAAATCCTTTTGAAACTTGCAGTAAAGCCATCATTGCATTTTCAGCCACATGTTTTTTGCTATTTGGAAACATAAGCTTGAAATATATCTAATCTTTTTTTCAGTTCATGCATTCCATAAATCATCAATATGAGTCTCAGAAAGCCAATTATGAGGAGAGAATATCAAGAATAGAACAAGAAGCATTATCCCAGGTAATGTTGAGTGAATTATTTGATGACATTGAACAATGAAGAATCGGCTTGCAGGTGGTGGGAGTGGAGAAGTAGCTTGGTGGCTATTGAATACACAGCGAGGGATTGAAACCCCAAACTTGAGGCTGGGAAACTGCTGCGCCAAAACGCTTCCACTTTCGTGAATTAAATTTTGTTTTTCAATTGAATATAGAAGTAAATAGAGTAGTGTTAGTCTAGTAGACCCATAAAATAAAAACACTACAAGCAGTTTATGGTGGAATTGTTTATTACACAAGCTTTTGTATGTGGGTGGGTGGGTGTGTGTGTGTGTGTGTATGTATGTATGTATGTATGTATGTATACCTGTCTTTGATGATTATTATGTATGTATGTATGTATATATATATATATAAGTCGTTAAAAAAAAATTATGACAACAAGGCATGTATACTGTAGAACACTTCATTTATTTTCGAAAGAAATTTTCGGCCAGTCCTCTGGCCTTCATCAGCTTTACTGAATGTACAAGTTGGCTGTTACAAGTTCTATACTGTACAATATAAACAATACAATAGAGGTGTAGACGGATTATAGGCCAATTATCTAATAGTTTATGCGGTAATATATAAAGAGAGATCCGACAGAGAACAAAGCGGTCAAGTATAGAGATAGTGGTGTTATAGATTAAACAATTCTTAATTAAGCGTACATAGTAGAACAATATGGTGGGAAGCAGACTTAACTACACAATAAGTAAATGATTATGAAGTCTTAAAGAGTAAAAGATGGAATATATGAATAAAACAAAAACAAACCTAAATAAACCTATAGGCTTATAAATAGGCTATATAATGTACAGATAAAGATAATATATACATTTAAATAATATACATGTAAAAATATAAAAATAAAAATAAAAATAATAATAATAAAGAGGTGTAAATAAGGAAAGCACATATTAGCTATCGATATAGAACAGAATAAAGAGATGGTGAGAATCAATTGTATGGGAAGTTGTAATCACTGAGAAAGTCTATATCTCTATTAAGGCCTATGGTGTGGGTTTTGTGTTTTAAGTATGAGTTCGGAAATGCGGCGATCGTTAAGAGATTTAAAGTTGTTGGCTATGAGTGTGCATCTCAAATCACTAATGTTATGGTTAGGAGAATTGAAATGTGTGGCTATGGGAAGGTTCTTATGGGTGCGGA